GTGTGTGTGTGTGTGTGTGTGTGTGTGTGTGTGTGTGTGTGTGTGTGTGCGTGTGTGTGCGTGCATGTGTGTGCGTGTGTGCGTGTTAGCTCTCATCAGGAGAACAAAATCAATCTGTGGAATGTGAGTCTATGAGCCAGGACAGCAGCCGGAGGCGCGGTGTTTGTGCAGCAGGGACATGCGGCTGAAGGTCCGCGAGCAGGAGACGCACTGGTACTTCTTCACCTCAGAGTGGGTCTGCAGGTGTGCGCGCAGGTTGGAGCGATCAGCAAAGGCCCGGTTACAGTGCTGACAAGCGAAGGGACGCTCACCTGGAAGAAGAGAAGCGGGTCAGCGCCAGAACACTTTAAAGGCGTTAAGCTTTTTGTCCTGGTGATTGTTTTTCAAAACCACTAGATATGCAGCAACAACAAAACACCCCCGTTGTCAGAGCAGCCAAACTGTGAGGCAGAGATTAGACTGTCCCCTGCTGATCAATAACATTCACTCAATAAATATCAAAGTGCAACAAACAGTAACATGAACACAGTCACTTGTGTCACCTGTGTGTGTGCGAATGTGTCCTCTGAGCAGCCACGGCCTGGAGAAGGCCTTCCCGCAGGTGGGACACACGCAGGGCAGAGTGTGTGAGCGGATGTGCATCTTCAGGGCTCCCAGGCTGGTGTACTCCTTGGGGCAGTGTTTGCAGTGGAAAACTGGGCGAGCGGAGCCCTCAGAGGGCGTCTGCAGCAGTGGGACCGGTGGGTGGTGGGACGCCTGGTGATGGGAGAGCGCGGAGACGCTGCTGCAGCTCGTGCTGCAGTGGAGGCAGTAGTAGAAGTGCTGCACTGCATCGGGACTTGGGGGATCTGAAGTACGGCCTCCATCTTCCTCTTCCTCGCTGCTGCTGCTGCTGGAGGGAGAGCTGCTGAGGTCCAGAGGGTGCAGCAGGGATGCAGGCAGGGACACTGGGGTGAGTGGGGACAGTGGTGCAGTCAGAGCATCCATGGGGGTGGAGAAGGGGCTGCTGGGTTGGTGGGTCACCCCAGAACTGTTGTCCTGTGTTGGCAGCTCAGCTCGGGGAAAACTTTCAGGGACAACAGCTGCAGAGGGAATAAAGTTAACGCAGATAATCCAAACCGGTTTTCATTCTTACTCTCATGTTACTGCATTCATCACAAGTCAAGTCATCTTTTCCAGGTGATTAAACATAAATTAAACACATTGAACACGTTTTTTTTTTAGATTTGGTAGCTGCAGATGTGACAGCAGTTTCCATCTGTTCTGTGCAGAAACTTGGAATAAAGGAAATTGGTTGTTTGTCAAATTACACTATATATATATATATATATATATATATATATATATATATATATATATATATCTCTTACCAGTCTGGCTGTCCAGTTGGTTCTCCCTGTAATGAGGCTTCTTGTTGGAAAAGTACTTCTTCACAAGAAAAGACCGAGGCATGATGAGCTCGAGTTAGAATGTATAGACTCCTTGAAGTATTTCCGCACCAAAACGCGCTCTGAAGCCAGTGCGCGTCGCACGTTTCCACACAGACACAGCGCAGAGACCAGCACTTCTCCTCTACCTCGTTGCACATGCTCAACTTTAGTTTCCTCCTTCATATAGCCGGGGAGAAGCAGCGGGGTGGGTGGGCAGGTCCACGCTCAGGGACACACCCCGTGCGCGTCTAAGCGCGGCACCGCGGTCTCTCCACAGGTGCACGATCAGACAGCGCATTTCACAGCTCACTGCCGGTTTTACTTTATTATTATTATTTAAAAACTTGTTTAAAAACTATTTTGATCTCCTTTTGCACAATCCTAAATAAGATGGCGCGTCCTCTGTCGGCTCAGACAAGATGCGTCCAATAAAAATTGTGTTTTACATTTACTGGATCTCCTAATAATGAAAAAACACCGTGAATGAAAAAAAATCTAAGCTGGGACAAAATAAATGCCCTTATCTTCAACCCCTCACAAGAAAAGTAAAAATCATATTTTTCGGTTTTACTTTTGGATTATAATCTAGAAATGTGCTAAAATAAAAAATAAAAAAAACACTGTAGGTGTCCGAAGGGTTAGGACAGCAGAAAATGTAAGGACATTTGAGGCCGTGCACGTGTCCATTGTTTGTTTATTTGTTTATTTATTTGGATCCTCATTAGCCATTGCTGTAACTACTCTGTCCACATAATAATAAAATATATATATATATATATTACAAGGATAGTTACACACAGTTAATATAACATAGCATACTATGATAATGAATTCATATAATTATAACACTATATAATAAAATAATTTAGCAGGGCACCTCCATGTTTTCATTCCTCTAAAAATAACGGTCTGTTGTCCAACATTCCTGTGAAGAGTAATTTGCCTTGTATTAAAATTGTGTTCAATTTGGCTTAATAAAAGTCGATCATATAAAACATTTGGTATCTTAGATACCACAATGTTTCTAAAAAAAAACAGAAAAGGGCAATTTCAACCTTATTTTTAATTAAAGTCCAACTTAATGCTTTGTGCATACTGATATTTGTATATATGGATCAGTTCAGTGTCTCTATGTGTCCCTGTGATGGACTTGCGACCCGTCCAGGGTGTACCCCTCCCCTCGCACAGTGATAGCTGGACATGGGCACCGGCGACCACCGTGACCCAAAATGGAAGAAGCAGGTAAAAGATAATGGATGGATGGATGGATGGATGGATGGATGGATGGATGGAACAGTTCAGTGCAAACGAGCTGCTCTATTTTGGACTACTTGTAGTTTAAGTATTGTTCTGTTGTCACCATTTGAGTCCTCTTGTTATCACTTCCAGGGCTATTCAACTGGCGGCCCAGGGGCCAAATCAGGCTCACGGATGTCTTCAGTTTGGACCACCAGTGGGTTTATTTTTAAATAAAACTTGATTTTAAATCATAAAACAACCTTACTTAATGAGAATTGTTGGATGTCTGGCCCCTGTGCTGTTGGCTTTCAGTAACTGTGTCCTCTAAGAAGTTTAGTTGAATAGCCCTGACGGAATAGGACAAAAAAAAACCAAGACAAAGAGGCTTCTGAAGGTTTAAACTGACAGTTTGGTGCAAGATTTTTATATACAGTAAATATAAACACATACACTGGAGTATTGATGTGATTATGAGTGAGGACAGAGGATTTTGCTAAAGTCACAGTTTGTGTCCTAACAGGTTGGACTGAAGACATACTGAGGAGGACACAGGAAGGTGGACCAGATGTCCCCTCATCTGTGTCCTCGGGGCCAGGTCATGCAGGTTTCTCACACTTTCTGCTGCAAAGAGAAATAGTGAAACAAACTGGGATGATCCATTTTCTTCCCAAGCATATCAGTGTTTGCTTGTCTAGAGTTAGAAGAATATATCATTTACAACTTTCATATTTTTCACTGTATAAGTCGTGTTTTTTTGCATAATTTGCATGCCCTGCAACTTATAGGCCGAAGCGACGTATTTATGGATTTTTGCCCCATCTTTACAAACCAATTTTTGGTTGAGATATCACCGTTTTCATTCATTCTGAATGAAAAAAATGAACACTACCATTTTCAGCCACTAGATGGCAGCAGAGTCCATCTGCGCATGCCCGCTTACACTAATCAGGTTTTGAAATGCAGCTGATTTGACCGTCAACATATTTATGGATTTTTCCACGTTATTAGACATATTTGGACTGATGCGACTTATAGGGCGGTGCGACATGTACGGTGGAAAATACGACTTAGCTTTTGGAGCCAATACCATTCAAGATGGCCACCACAGCTAAGCATGTCAGTCAACAAATGGTTAAAACTAATACAATTTGATGTATATTGAGCTAAAAATTGGTGTGCCCCTAGCTAAGAGTAATCCTCAACATATACTTAGAGCAATAATAGTTTGTGTGAAATTTGTTTTTAAAACTTTGCCATTAACGACTGAAAACTACGTATCCGTTAGCAAAATATATTCAGAATCAGAGAACAGATGTTTTAAAACCCTCAAAAATTAATAATTTGGTGTACATCTGTAACCCATTAACTTTTGGTTCCAACCCAGGTCTTAAAACTGCTTATAAATTGACATTTAACTGTTGGTGTCAGCTCTGTTAGCAAAATATCTCATGAACCTCTAGATGAATTTTAATTCAACTTTGAGAAAGTAATTATTGGATGAACAACTACAAATGATTAACTTTCAAGATGACCACCAAAACAAGCCAATATTTACCAACACAACAATGGCTGTAACTCAGGTAAAATATAGATTTTGATATAAATATATCCCAGTGGCTTTTACACCCAAAATACATTACGGCAAAGACTGGTTCATCCCAAAGATCCAGTCCCCCGGCACAAACAGAGTTATATTGTGTATGTTGTTCAGTGTCAGGAGGGCTGTGATCAGTCTTACATCGGGGAAACTAAACAGCCACTGGCCAAAAGGATGGACCAGCACAGAAGATCAACATCATCAGGCCAGGACTCTGTGGTCTACACTCATCTCCAGGCCAGCGGTCACTCTTTCAGGGATGAAGATGTTCACATAGAGAGGAACGATGGTTTGAGAGAGGAGTAAATTAGGCCATCTTTGTGAAAAGAAACCTTCCATTAGTGATGGTAGTATGAAACAAAAGTTTCAAAACATGCTTCGAACCCTGCAGTAAAATGACATCGAACCACTGCTTCGGAGACTGTTTCGGTGCGGAAAAAGTCACGTGACACGCAACGTCCGAAACACAAACTGTTTTGTTGTCAGAATGAATCTCTTGACTGGTTCGAGGTCCAAACAGCTGATTCCCTGGCACCGCCTCGTCTCGATTCTGACAGGTGACACGTTGAGACAGTTTTGAATTGAGAGCTCAACACTACCTTCCATCGTTAAACAGGGGTGGAGGTCTCAGTTTTCAACTGGAGTTTTTAAATCAAAATAATTTATTTAAACAACAAAACAAAAAGCTGGCGAGGCAGTAAAAACTTACAAAACGATGAGCTAACCAGAACAAGGCAGAACGGGTCATCAAGCAAAACAGGAACAGGCAGAACAGAGGAGGACCAGGTCATCTGGAGGTTTTAGTATGGCAGAGGAAGAGGCAAACGAGTGCACCTGGGCAAGTAGCTGATTAAAGACAGGTGTGAATGATTAGAGGCTGGAGAGACAGGCTGAGGAGTGAGTGGAACTAACAGAAAACACAGAGTCAAATACATAAGGAACAGAATGACACAAGAAGAAGAATGAAACAAACTATAAGCAGAAGAGGAGACACAGAAATACAAAGAAGACAGACAAGGGACAGACTGTGTCAAGACGAAACTTTTCATCAAACAAGAATCCATCCAGAGGACCTGACTTAACTTTGGGGCAGTTTACACGATGCGTATTTTGAGCAGTGATGCCAGATCTCGTGATAGAAACAAGCAAACAATCCCCAAAAAAGCCCAACTGGCAACCCACCACATTGTGTAAAACAGAGGCCGTTTTTAAACAGTATAAACATACATTTATTATGGTACTACATGTAAAGAGCAACAAAATTATGCTAAACACTTTGAATAACATACTTTTAAGCTCTGATAAAAAATACTTTTTGCATACTGTATGTAACAGCAAACTCATAGTAAACACAGTCAACAAAACAACAAAGTCCATGCTCAATAATCCAGGTATAAAATCCAACATTTTTCAGTCTGGTCATCTGGACAGTTTCTTTTTGTCTGCCATTCTGTCCAGATGACCTGACTGAAAAATGTTGGATTTTATACCTGGATTATTGAGCATGGACTTTGTTGTTTTCAACCAGTTTGACAAGACTGTCAACAAGGAAGAGGGCCGGCAATGGAGGAGGGGGCGTACCAAAGAGACCATCTAATCACAAGCAGAACTGGTTTGTTCCACTTTTGAGTAAGCTGTTGGGGGAAGAATCAGTTTTGTTGTGTGTTTCCTTGACTGATGAAGCCTTCCGAACCAAAGGCGAAACGTTTCAGCACAAAAAAAGAAACTGTCCAGATGACCTGACTGAAAAATGTTGGACAGTCAACAAAAAACGTTCTGCTTAAAAGCAAAGACACACATGAGCCAACTCAAACATGTCAAAAGTGAAACCATCTTCTGTCCTTTTCCTTCTTGCGTTCCCATCACGTCTGTTCATCTGTAACACAGAAATCACATATGGGAAAATTAGCATAATGAAAAAGATGTAAAAATAGCTTTTACCTGTGGAGCCCCTAGTGGTCGGCCACAGTATGAGCGTTTGTTTGGGTGTGCGCCACTCGCCTAGTCAACTTGGGCAGGAGCGATAAACAGGAAACGGGGGCGATAAACAGGAAATGGGGGCATGGAAAGGACAAGTACCTACTACCGCTCGTCTTTTGTGCGGAGCTGGAAGATAATCATCTAGTTTCACTCGGATAGAAAGTCATGCCCAAATAAGCAATTTCACGTTCAAAAACAAAAAATCACAACCCACGACTCACAAGATTTGCAAGCAACTTTAGAAAAAAACAAGCCCAAAGTCGCTTACAATAAGCAAACTTGGCAACACTGATTTCGAGTGAAACCGCAGCTTTTCCTCTGCGGTTCGGCTGTT